TGCTCTACTTCTGATCCAGCTCTCTGCTAAGGCCTGGGAAAGCAATAGAAGATGGCCCAAGTCCTTGGGCCCTTGCATCCTCATAGGAGACCCAGAGAAAGCTCCTGTCTCCTGGCTTCAGATTGGCATGGCTCCAACCACTGCAGCCAATTGGGGAGTGAACCAGAAGATGGAATATCTCTCTCTCTCCCTCTCTCTTTCTCTCCCTCCCCCTCTCTCTCTCTCTCTCTCTGCCTCTCCTTCTGTCTCTGTGTAACTCTTTCAAATAAATAAATAAATCTTAAAAAAAAAAAGAGTGAATAGTCAAAGCTTTGTTAGTTTCAGGTGACGGTTTCTAACTTTGTTTAGGGTAGTGCTGTAAAAGTTCTGGCAAATTAAGTTGCTTATGGGAGAAGTCGAAATGCTTAATGGTTCTCTGATTATCCCCGTTTATAGTCGTAATTATTGGGGCCAGGGAGTTAAGTTTCCATGAGTCAGTGTTCCACAAACTACACTAAAGATAAGAAATATTAAACTGAGAGTAAAAGAATTAAATTTCACTCTTACCAATCAGAGTAATTAAGATTTTATAAAATTAATGAACCCAATGCCAGTCAAGGTGTGAAAAAAAACATAAATATAGATTGGCTCCTTGCTATGGAGTGGCAATTTGGCAATGTCAGGCAAACTCCAAAATGTCCTGCCCAAGCAGTTCTTCTTCCAGGTAGCGACTCGTCTTCAGATGCACTGGGAAAGCGTCACGGCCGTTTCAGCCTCATCCGCAACCACCACAAGATTGCAAACAAGCTGAACGCCTGTCAAGAAAGTTGTTTCTCTTTGTAGTACAAGCACATAGTGGCGGTTTTTTTTTTTTAATATTATTTATTTATTTATTTGAGAGGTAGAGTTACAGAGAGAGAGAGAGAGAGAGAGAGCGCCTTCCTCTGATTCACTCCCCAAATGGCTGCAACGGCAGAGACGCACTGATCTGAAGCCAGGTGCCAAGAGCCTCTTCCTCATCTCCCATGTGGGTGCAGGGGCCCAAGCACTTGGACCATCTTCTGCTGCTTTCCCAGGCATTAGCATAGAGCTGGATTGGAAGAGGAGCAGCCAGAACAAGAACCAGAGCCCACATGGGACACCAGCGTCGCAGGCAGAAGATTAACCTACTGCATCACAGCGCCAGCCCCGTAATGGTGTTTTATGTAGCAGAAACTGTTCTCCAGTAGGCGAATGGGTAAGCAAACTGCAGGGCATCCACACCACGAACGACACAGGTGGCGTTTACGGGTGAGCACTCCTCCTGAGGGACACTTGGGTAGCGGCACTAATAATTTGGGTAAATATAGAATTCAAGGCCAAATTTCTTTTTCTTCAGCACTTGGAAGCTGTTGCTGTATTACTGTTTGCACCTAGTAACACTGGTAAGCCCTCTGCTACACTTGGAGATCCTGAAAGACGGGTATTAACCTCTGTTTCAGGCAAAGCAGCTTTTGTTGTCTCCCTCCTATCTGAAGGAGAGCTTTGCGGGATGCAGTATTGTTGGCTGTTATTCGTCTTTTCCTCCAGTGCTGTGACAGTCCCATCCCACTCCCTCCTGGCCTAGGAGGTTTCTACTGAGAAGTCTGCAGTCAGATGACCTGGAACTCCTGTATGTGTTATTTGTTTCTTTTTTCTTGCAGTTTTGAGAATCCTTTCTTGATCTTGAATCTTGGAGAGTGTGATCCCAACATGCTTTGGGGTAGACTTGACTGAGCCGAGCCTGCCTGGTGACCTCTGATCTCCCTGTACCTGGAGAGTTACATCTCCCTCGAAGTTTGGAAAGTTTTTAGTCATTATCTTTGAACATGCTTTCCCCTCCTACGGCATTCTCAATCCTCTCGGACCCCAGCTACTCAGATATCTTCTCTTTCTCTGCTGTCACGATTATTTCTTCTATTCGAACTATTTCATTGATGTCTTTGAATTTCTCTTAATGTACTTTTTTAAAAAATTTTGACAGGTAGAGTTATAGACAGTGAGAGAGAGAGAGAGACAGAGAAAGGTCTTCCTTCTGTTGGTTCACTCCCCAAATGGCTGCTACGGCCAGTGCTGCGCCATCCCAAAGCCAGGAGCCAGGTGCTTCCTCCTGGTCTCCCATGTGGGTGCAGGGGCCCAAGCACTTGGGCCATCCTCCACTGCCCTCCTGGGCCATAGCAGAGAGCTGGACTGGAAGAGGAACAGCTGGGACTAGAACCCAGCGCCCATATGGGATGCCGGTGCCACAGGAGGAGGATTAACCAAGTGGGCCACGGCGCCGGCCCCTTGAATGTACTTTTCAGTTGAAGGATGTTTGTTTTGTTTTGTTTTTATTATTTAGGATTTCTAAATTTTAACTAGCTGTTAACAGATTCAACATACTTCATAGATACAATTCTAAGAATATGATATTCCCTTCCTTCCTTCCTCCCTCCCTCCCTCCCCCTTGTTCGATTTTTGAAAAATTAACTCCATCTCTGTGTCAAGTCTCTCTGTGCAGGTGTTAGATCATTTTTCTGTGTTCTCTGAAGTTCTGTTTCTAAGTCTCCGTCTGAGCATTTGGAAATGTCGTATCCTAGGAGGGTGCTTTCCAGTATTTTACTTTGTTCCTTAGGTGAGGTCATGGTCTCCTGAGAGTTCTTTGACAGTTGTCGGTATATGACATCATCTGTACATTCAAGAATTACCTATTTTTTCCAGTCTTTGTAATCTGATTTGGTTTGTGACTGTCCTTCCAGAAATTCTAAGCAATCCATTTAGTTTCTCTGAGTCTGTGGACACGTCTGCCAGGTTAACGCTCACTGGAGTCCTGAGTCTGCTAGCAGTGCACAGTCACTGCCTCCCACCCCCACCCCCGCCCCGCCTGCCAATGCCCTGAGCTCAGATTTGTCCTAAATCTGCAGCTGGTATGCTGCTCAGAATGAATGAAGGAAACATCCAAAACGGGGTGGTGCATCCCTACAAGCCAGCCCCTGAGCCGGGGCAGGCTAGACACGCAGTCCACGGCCACCAGTGCTGCAATGCTGGATCATACATGGAATGCACAGTCCACCCAGACCAGTGTCGCGTAGGGCTGGGACCAAGGCCCACACTGCTGTGGTCTGTCTTCTGCTGAGCTGGACTCTCAGCTTGAGCCACTGCTGCAATTAGCCACGAGTGATGCTGGCTGGCGGGCACTCAACTGGGGCCACGGGACTCTACCTGGCACCAAGGCAGGAGCAGAGGCTCCACCGGTAGATGCTGGCCTGGAGATGAAGACTATTGGGATCTGCTCAGTGCTGCGTTTTGCCTGCCTGGGACTGGGTCCCAGGACGTGTTCCTATGACTCCTCACAGACTGCCCTCGGTTGGGGGAGGCAGATAAAGGTAGCTCCTTGGTCACCCAGGCTGGCACTTAGCGGGGCCACACCTCAGTCTCACCGTCATTGGGGGTGCACGCCAGGCCCACAGGATGCACACTGAAGCTTGTGTGTCCTCCCAGGATGTCCACCCAATGCTGAGGCGACTCGAGGGGCTCCATCTCCGAGCCCTGGCCCGGAGGCAGAGGCCTTGGGACTTTATCGGGCTCTGGGTCTCACAAAGGTGAGTCCAACTCTGAGCTCCAGAGGGAGGGAGGGAGAGAGGGAGAGAAGCTCCAGACTACCTAGTGTGGATCAGCTTTTGGCCCATCACCCTTTGGACGTAATTTCCAGGTTCCAAATCCCAGTATGCCCCACCCCCCTCCAAGACGGCCTTTGCCCATTTAGAGTCCAGAGTAGATTTTGTGAAAATAGACTTTATTATAATAAAATGTCTTTTTAAACAAACACCCCCACCAGTCCACGCTCCTGGAGACCCAGGTGGGGGTGGGGTCCAGTCAGACGATCTCCCACCATGGCAAAGGAAACATGCAAGAGACGCTCACCCAGGCACGGGCAGGGGCTGGGGGCTGGGGTGGGGGCGCAGCGGCCCCGCCCCACTATGTGTATGTAAGGGGATGTATGAAAATAGCTGCAGAAATCTGTCCTTCCCCCCAGCCCTGGAATCTGACAGAGGCCAGAGGAGAACGATGCAAACGAGAACTTGAATCCAATGAGCAAAATAAGGCAAACCCAGCTCCTGCTTGCTGCCCACTGGCCCCTGGGGCTCGGGGCCAGAAGGCCCTGGGCAGGGCGGTGGAGCACTGTGGGTGGGGGCAGGCCGCTTTGGCAAGGACTTGGCCGCGTGGGGAAGCAGAGGAAGGAAGCTGGACTGAGGCACTGAGTATGTACAATATATACACGGCTCACCGCCTGCCCGCGCAGGGGCCTGGGGAGCATCCGGGGCACACGTTCCTTTGGGGCAGGGAAGACACTATAGGGACGGCCAGAGCCACCACAGGGAATGGGCCCTTTCTCCCCTCAAGCTCCCCAGCCCGGGCTGGGGGGGCCCAAGGAGGGACTTGCACAGTATGGTGGGGAACCAAGAGCAGATGAGCCGGCCAGTGTAGGAGTCTGGAGTCTGGGTCCGGGCCTGGCGTGGCCGAGGTGCTCAGTGGCCGGGGCCACACTACTTACTCGCTGTGAGGCTCAGTTTCCCCTGTGACAGGAGGAAGGGGCCCAGCCGAGGATGCACCTGTAAGGACCCGTCTAGCCCTGACCCTCACCAAGCGCCCCCGTTGTTTACGCAGAAGAGCGGGCGTCCTGGGCCCGGCCGTGACAGCGATG